CATATGTTTGTTCGTTGTTGATTGATAATTGGTGTTATTTTGAGAAGGATCATTGATTAACCCTCCCCTGAAAATCTCGAGCTTCCAGATCTGTCGAAGCTCCTGGGTTAATAATAATCGTTTTTACTTCAACCGATGGGGTACGATTCTTCTTTCAATTTCTGTTTTTGAGACTTTATGCAGAATATATATATTTGTATTTGATTCGTATCTGATTTCGAGATTCTGTTTGATGGGTTCTTTTTGTTCATGCGTTATATGTTTGTTACTGGGTTCATGATTAGATAAACCCTAATTTTTTTGATTTATCCTTTTACAAGTGAAGAAATCAAGGTTGTTTTGGGCTTATTATGCAGATAAGAATAATGATTTTGATAAAAACCAATTAGCTTACTAGAAAAAAGGATTTGTTTTTTTGGGAGATGATTAGAGTTTATGGTTTTGTAACAGAGCAGTGGCTGTGTGGCTTGCTACAGAGAACCTAAATCAACTGTTGCTCTGAAGGATCCACCCTCTAATTCCATAGCTCAAACGTTTAAGAAGAAACCGAGTGTTTCGGAAGATTTCTGGTCAACAAGTACAATTGATATGGACAACATTACCTTCCCTTCTCAGGGGAGTATGTCATCTAACCAGACTTTTGATTCTCAATCTGGTACAAGAAACTCAAATGCTCCTGCTGAATATGTAAATCAAGGTACTTTCTTCTAGGATCGTGGATTCACGGTAGGAGAGTGTCATGTATGGTCTAATGTTTTGTGATATGGTTATATATGAAGTAGGGTTGTTTGTTTTCTCTGCGTTTACAGGTCTTCTTCTTTGGAATCAGACACGAGAGCGTTGGGTGGGGAAGGAAAGACCCAATAACCCACCGGACCGCGATCAAGGAGCTAAGTTAAAGTGAGTGGTTCCAGTACAAGTTTTATTTGTTTACTTAAAAGCCAAGGTTAAGTCTAAAAATGTTACCTTTTTTTATATGTCATTATCTGCAGTTGGAACGCAGCGTCGTATGATAGTTTGCTGGGGAGCAACAAGTTATTTCCCCAACCCATTCCTCTCACGGTAAGTAATCAAACTCCCTAAAATGCTGGAAATTAGTGAAAAAAAACCCGGTCAATTAATCGCGTTGCTTATGAAAAAAAACAGGAAATGGTGGATTTTCTAGTGGATATTTGGGAACAAGAAGGTCTATATGACTGAATGAACAAGACTTGAAAGATG